CACTTTAACACCTCACCAGGTGAAGCAGATTGGTGGGTTGCAGCAGCCGGGGCAATATCCAGGGGATGAGCAGAGAACCGGAGGGAAAGAGAGAATGGAAGGCAGTAGGCAGATAAGAAGATGGCCATATCCTGCTTGAGAATGAAGCCCTGGGAATGGGGCAAGAGGCCGATAGGGTCTTGGGGCTCGGAGGAGTCCTCATCCAAGGGAGGGAGAGAGAGGAAGAGAGAAAATGGGCACTCTTTCCCTCGGCTTATCGTTCTTTTTATTTGAACATTGATTAACTGCTGCCAACAGCCAATCAAGTCGGATGCGGTGGCAATCAGAGTGGAAGAGCGAGAGGAGCGGGCGTTTTCTTCCCCAGCTCGGTTCCTTTTTTGTTTGGCATTAATTTCACCACTGCCAGCAGCCAATTGACCCAAACACGGCAGCATTCAGACAGGAGGAGGGAGAGACAGGTGGATACTCTCTCCCGTGGCTTGTCTTAACATTGATTAACCACCTCTAGCAGGCAATTAAGCCAAACATGGTGGCAATCTGAGAGAGAGGGAGGATAAAGAAGAGGAGAAGGAAGAAAAGGGAAACTTGGTCTGTCTCTAACGCTGAGGCTCAAACATCTGAGAGAAGACAGACTAAGTAAAAGAAATTGTCTTGATCCCGACAACCAAGAAAGGGACCCGATCGGTCCAATAAATTTGCTTTTCAGCTTTTCATTTCTTCTGTTGTTTTTTTTCACCGGCGCAAAAATCTGGGTGTGAACCAGCAGCTGGCAGTGATTGGGGAGGTGATGTCAACACCCCTTCCTCTCCCCTTCCTTTACGTCTTCAAAAACCATCAAAAGTTGTGGCAGGTGGGAATAAAAGGGGGAGAGAGAAAAAGAGAGAGAGAGAAAGCCACCCTGAGCAGGCTGGCAGAGGGTTATGATGCGTGGGAGAAGACCAGTGAATGTCCATAGCATCAATGTGGAGCTGGCACTGCTGTTATAGGGCCAGGCTGGAGCTGTGTCCTGCGTCCCAGGTTGGCATGGGGATGGAGTCTGCCAGTGCCAGAGCAAGGGAAAGCAGCAGTGGATGTGAGAGCAGAAGGAGGGGAGGGGGACCAAGACTGTAGGGGGACAGGCAGGGGCCTCAGGCTGTGGGACGAAAGGCAGACTCCCCCATTGCTTCCATACTGCCTGTGCCCTATCATCTGCATTCCTACAGTCTGTCCTCCACTGCTCCTGCACTGCCTCCCCACCAGATGCCCTATTTGCATGCCCCCACTGCCTCCCTCACCATCTGCCCTTTTACTGCCTTCCCCACCACCTGTCCCTTACCAAGCTTTCTCCACTGTAGTGGGAGGGGGGTGGGAGCGGGATAGAATTTAAGATAATCCTGCAAAAATTTGATTCTATCCATGGAAAATTATAACACATTTATAAATTTTCCATGAATACAATCTAATTATCAGGGGGTCACCTGAATTTCAGAGTCATCTTGGATTTGGGTAAATATGATAATTTGCTAGTATCAAAAAAACCATACCAATGGAGACGAAGAATGTATTGCTACTGAAATGTTTAGAGACAGTAATGTAATCTTAGAACCAGTACTAGATATTTTCTTTTTTGAGGGCATGAAGTTTCTTATACTGGTCTGTTTTGGTATTTCAAAAGACACCTGTTTGGGATTTGAGGAAACTTTATAGGCAGATTTCTGAGGCAATTTTTAATCTTCTCTTTTTCTGTTGCTTCAGAGACAGGGATTTCACATAGTAGAGTAGTATGTAAAACTGTCTCTTTCAGAGGACTTCTTGGGAATTGCAAGTTCATCAAAGGATCAGAGAGTCTATCAAAAGATATATTTTTCTACCATACAGCTTCCTACCCTATTACTCTCGATTTTTCCATTTGATATGATTGACTGCAGTGTATTATTAATGAAAATGTTATTGTTTTACATTTTCAGGGCAATTTACCTGGAACTTGTGCATTACAAGACAGTGCAAACATTTAAGAGTGACTAATGGAAAAATCTGTCCAAGTAAACCTATACTCTGATAATGTTGTGGGACAAGGAAAGAATATTATTTAATCAGACCACTGCTTCAATTAATAGTGTTGCTAATGATCCTTTACTGGTACTTAAGTATATTTGATACAATATCACTCAGGTGCTAAAGATAGAACCCCCAAGTGTACAGGGTCCTTTTTCGGAGTAGAATCACAATTTTACAGAATAGAATAACCTTCTATTTGGTGACAAAATTAAAAATTAGACCTGGGACAGTAGCTAAAATGACAAATGACTGTATTGCTGAAAAAATAATTAAGGCAACTGAACCACGTGCAGGAGATGGAAAGCATTTGACATAAACATTTTATATCACATGATGCTGGTTTGATGTAAAAGAAAACCTTTTTTCAAGTCAGGTGGCAAGAGTATTATACCCCATTTCTACCACCTTTTATCCAGAACCTACATCATATGAGGATAATGTCAATTCAAATATTAACACTATATACAAGTGATCAATAGTAATATAAATTAATAAACTTAAATTATCTTAAGAGTTTTCTGTTTTACTTGTGACAGATATATGAGATGTACTGGAATCTGTTGGCAGGTCATAGTAATTTCTAAGTTAAGCACTGGGAAAATTTTACCTAATTATCTTTTATACTAATGTCATACATGACAGAGACAAAGAAACTTAATGGAAAGAAATAAAGCAGTCACAGTGCTGCTATTCAACATGATACCATATAAAAATAATTTCAGTCACCTGATCTTCAGAATTTAATTAAATATTATGCTCCTAACAAAAATGTTAGTTTCAACTCCTTTATTAACATTGTAGAACTGACTTCTGTCTCTTCTATGTCCTTTTGCACTGCTCTGGTAGCAGAAGGAAGACAAAAATTAGGCCTCAATAGCCAGCTTGCATTTCCCCTTACAAAAGAACAGATTTTTTTGGCATCATGTGCCAAAACACTCCTTAAGTGTTCATACTGGCCACACCCTCACACAATTACACATTTTATGAGAACTGCTCTCACACAGTTACTCATTTTCACCTCTTAAGAGTATCCATTAGAAAAACCAAAGTAAGAAACAGTATGACATACTCATATTCTTAAGAGGGAAAAACACATTTTCCCCCTTGTAATATAGTTTGCCATACAAGAGATGTCCTGAATATTATCCCTGAGGAAGTAATGGATATTTTAAGACTAACATCAATACAATCCTTCAGATCCTCTCACATTTTAATCAATCATAGTAGCCACTTACTGCTTCTTATGCTACAGAAATAGAGTTGCATTTTCTGTAGATTAAACAAACTAATGGATTACAACTTTTTTTATATAGGTTATGGGCAAGGAAGGAATTTCATTACTTCGGGGGTAATAAAAAGCAATTCTGATACTCCACAATAAGCAAAGGTCACCACCCCGGTAAGGAATCTCTACCACAGGCCTCCAGTTATATTTAACTCTTGAGTCAAAGATTTTTGCTAGGTACAGTTCTGGAAATCAAACTTGCCTGTTGTAACAGCAGGTAAAATTCTCCAGAGTCAATAAAGCACAAGGCAATCAGACTGATAAAGAGATTCCTGAAGTGGTCCTAAACTGGACACCCAAACCAAAGGCTAAACTAAAATATCTAATCCAATAGTTCCCAATCTGTGGTATGGGTACCACCAGTGGTACGCAGCAGACAACCTGTCAGTGGTACGCGTTAACAGATTTATTATAATTACTTTATGTTGTATCATTTTAAATTGGTGTTGCACAATGTCAGAGTTTAGGAACTGTTGATCTAATCACTTTTGAAGATTATGACTCCTGATTTTAACCATTCCAAACCTCAGGTAATGAACATACTCGTCAACTTTTTCTCTTTATATTTTTTTGTGAAACTGATTATCAAACATCAAATACATTATAAACCTGTTCTTTCAACCTGCAAATTCAAGACTTGTATGTGATTTCTTTACTGTAGTAAAAATGGAACCGTTAGCCTGCACTGACTACTAATCTTCCATGCTTGAACAGACATTAGAGATCAGATATGCCCTCCTCTTCGCTAATACTTGACCAGGATTGAAATCTGATGCCCTGCTGTTATAAACAAGGCCAATTACGATCAACATCCAGTGTAAGAAGGCACAATCCATAAGAGAGGGGACTACATTTTCTTATAGCAGGTGTTGAATGTGATTGACTGCCTACATCAGTGGGGAAAACATTTTCAACATTAGTTAAAGAGGAACCTAGGAAAAGTCATGTTTGACCCTATGTTAAACATGGCTCCATTTCCTAGTTCTGGACTTGTAAGGACAACTTATGTTTACATGATGAACTAGAAATAAATGGAAAGATGACCGCACTAGGTAAGTACAATTATAAGGTATACTCATAAATCTTTATGCTTCTTCAGTCTCTTGCTCAGACTTCCAATGATTGTGTCTGTTTCATGACATGAGGGGCAGTAGCTGACATTTTTCCTAGTCAGAAGAGAAGCTACCAACATTTTATTTAGCATGAAAGAAGAAATACTGAAGAAAAGAGGAGTTTTAAAATATATGAAGCGGGACTCCTAAGAAAACTGAGAATAAACTTGTAATCAGGATATTCCTATCTAGTTTGATAATATAATCAGCCTACAAACCAAGAGGGAAGAGAAAGATGGGCACAATCTTTTTTAAATCAGTAATATTCTCAGACTATTTTCCCTCTGATCCCATTCTTATGCTGACACAGTATTGGCTATTATCTGTGCTCCTTGGGAATTAAATCATGAATGAAGCCATTCCTTTTCCCCTACCTTCACTGTGAAAGACAATGTATGGTTCTGGTCACATCTGCTGGTATTACAGACCCAGCACATGGCACACAAGCTGCCACTAAACAAAATTTCCTGCATCATAACTAAAATCTGTACCTAATTAAAATTCCAGAAACAAGTGATCATGAAGGAGGCTTTCTATGCTTAGCAGTAAAAAAACCAGATACTCACAAAGAAGGATCTTGAACCAGATCTTTAAGGTTTATTCCACTACGATCCTCAGCAAGGTTCCTGAAGCAGCTGTCACTCACTAGAAAGACAGAAAAGCAATAGTTTAAAGTTGGGGAACTGTGTACAATTTCTGCCATCCCATTAATAACATTTAGTTTGGAGATAAGTGTATATCCCCAGGAAATCTAGAGCTTTTCAGTGAGGCTTTACCTAACTTACAGATGTGTTCACAAAGCAGAAGAGATTAAACAATTTGCCACAGGTCATATGGTGAGAATCAGGAAGAATTTCAATTAGGAGTCTTAACACACCTGCTCCTTTGCTCTGATTACACAACCACACAATTTTATTCAACCTAACACTAGAGGCTTCAATATTCACAAAGTCACATACTTATAATAATTAATCGTACATAATTTAGACCTCTGTATATGATTTGAAATATTGACAATAGCTGTATGTTTATGTTTCATTTTAAATTGATATAGTTTACACATCAGTATAAATTGTTTATTTTTACATATGTAAAACATAAAATGTAGATAGCATAATCATTAACACAATTTATAATCTCTGAATTCTATTGCAAACAGTTCCAGGGCAACAACCCACTCAAGATTTACTGAAACAATTACATAGGATTAAGTTTAAAAGAATAAGTGTTTTGTTTTATTTTATTTTCTAAGCACACTGTTGTTTAAATCTGGTGCTCAAAACTTATTTCTTTGCCTCATTGTACATCCATACTTCCCTTTAGAATAACACTATGCTCGAGTAAGAAAAAAGCAGGCAATTGCTTTAATGGAAAAAAACAGTCAATAAAATTAAAGGAACTTAAAATATTCTGGACTGTGTCAAGACTTCTGAAGGATATGAAAGGCTGTGATGTGTCTTAAGAGGATTTTGGCTGTAACCATTTGTCAGACTGAAAAGTTACTGAAAGTCACTGTCAACTGCAACCAACTGCATTTAGCAGCAATGAAATAACCTGCCAGCTTGAGGGACTCTCTATGAAGAATTGTATCGTCACTCACTTCCTGAAACACGACAGACTCTCCAGCATTTTTGGGAAAGAAGATGCAATTTAACCAAGAGCAACTGCAACAGCCGGCAGACCTGTGCTCCCTCTCCAACATCTCTGCTGATGTGCAGCATACCTCTCCAATTCACACCTGCTGGTATGTGACACCAAGGTCCCCTCTACATACTACATCTGTTATTCAATTACCTCGTTATTTGTGAAATTAATTTAGATTGGCTACACATACAGATTAACTATGGCACCTTAAAAAAGTCCTACCAGCTATAAAGCTATTGCCTGAAAATGTGTAATAACTTGACACCTGATTTCTATCCAGCTTTAATCAGCACATGTAGCCTGTGCCCTCTGTGGCTAGGGCTAGGTCCAGACAATATACATAAACCAGGCTACATGCTTAGAAATTAAACCAAACCCATAATCATACAGAAGTCTGGGGAACACAGACCAGAGTAAAAATAGTGGAAACCCAGTCTAACGTCCTGGATCAATGTGCATTCAAATTTACGTGAGTTAGGTTAGTCTGGTGCATCAAATTTCTGTACCAGATCCCCTATCAAATTAAGTTAGGTTGCTTTCTGCCAGCACATGTAGCCTGGCTCCTTTGTGGCCCTGCTAGCCCTCTCTTGCAGGGAGGTGCACTGGAACTCAGCCTGCGGTCAGCTGCTCTGGCCAAGCACCTAGTGGGCCATCTTCTGCCTCAGGCCAGATGTTAGACCCAGGCAGGACAGAGGTGTGGAGGGAGAGGGGGAAGCAGGGCTTGTGAGTTGCTGGGGGGGAGGTGGTGCCAGAGGTGCATGCTGCATTTTAGGCACAGGTTGGCAAGGCACAGAGTGTCCCTTCCCTGTCCTAGTTCTGTCTGAGTCCCAGGAAAGGCTTGGAGGTTTCTCCCCCACCTCCCGTGAGCCAGCTCCAGGTTACAAGCTGAAGCTGCTTTCCCTGCAGCTGTGGGGCTCCAGTTCCTGGGGAAAGCAAGGAGGGGAGTTGTGGGTGATTCCAGTGCAAGAACAGGGGCTGCAGCCTGGGGAGCAGAGTGAACCCCTGTCCAGCCCTGTCTGCCACTTGACTGCTAACTGCTGTTGGCTGGGCTGGCTTGGTTCAGGCAAGTCTGTTTCCAGCATGTTCTCAGCAGCAGCAGCACCAGCTCCCTTCTGCTGATCTCAGCAGTGCCAGCACCTGGGAATAGAGTGACTCAGTGGAACAAAGGACAAAACCCCAGCTGGGGCCAGGTGAGTGCTTTCCTGACCAGCCATGGGCTCCAGGCATCTGCTTGCCCCCTCCCACCCTGCTCCTGGAGGCACCATGACACATCTCATGGGTTCCCAGCTCCCTGTGGTGCATGGTGGCAGTGTGGAGAGTTCTGAGCCAATGCCCTGATTTGGGGAGTGTGTAATGAGCATGTGCAAGTGTGCATGGGCGAGAGCCTTTCCTGGGGTCTTTTGCTGGCCCCTGGCACTGCAGTCTGGCTCTGGGTCCTGGACTCACCTGGCTGGGCACAGCTGAAGATCCACCTTTATCTCTGCCAACCCCCCAACGAGCTCTGTGCTGGCTCCAGGGCTGGGAGTGAAGGAGAATCCTCTGAGCCCTGCTCGTAGCTGCTCCAGTGCACAAGTCCTGGGGCTCAGACAGAACTGGGATGGGGGGGACATGACGACACTATGCCCGCCAACCTGTGCCAGGAATGTGAAGTGCGCCACTGGGGCTGTGTCCCCTCAGCAGTTTGGGAGCCCATTCCTGCCCCCCACCACCACCTCTGTCCTACCTGGGGTGGGCACCCACACCCCCACCCTGGACTGGCTGCTTGCAGCTGATGGATGCCTGTGGCTGATGGATGACATGCAGAAGTGCCCCCAACTGCCGGCTTCGGTCAGTGCAGACAGCCTGCATGGCCCCCTGATCAAAGGGTGAACAGGTGTTCTCTTCACTCCTGATCAAACCTAGGGTGCTTAACGTAAGCCACATACTTACATCAATTCTGCCTCAGGCTTTTTGAATGTCTGTACCTAGCCTGGGAGATAGCAGCTTCTGTGATCTCCCAGCCACAAGGGCATCCTGAAAGCCAGCAAAACATTATGTGACAATATTTACTAATGTATGACCCAGTACTGCTGGTCTTTAATACACTGATCCCATTTTGTACTGCAGCATTGTAATACTTAACAAATATCACCAAATTCCCTCAAACTCCTTTCTCTACTGAAAAAAACAATTGCTCAAGAGCAGCAGCTTGGGACACCAGTCTAGCCTCTTCACTACCTGGTTCTCAAGGTCTCAGTGGTAAGACTGAACTTCCCTGCTACAAAGTGGATAATTTAAAGTCATAAATAACTTTTTATTGGAACAGCAAAAATAACAAATACTTGGCTATAGAAAATTCTAAAAGTTAAATTACAATAAGCATTTAAAATTGATCTTCCAATTCAAGACTGATTTGTTATAGGCAGTTTTCACTCTCGTTAAAATGCAAATCCTAGTGCAATGTTAACTATGGCAGTAAAATAACAGTCTTTTAAGTAAACAGACATAAACACACAAAAAGTCCACTCCATGAAACTGATAGTGCTGGATTCCTGGCTAATCCAGCTGAAACAAAGTTTTACAAATCTCACTGACATATCGGTGAACTTTGGAAGTTTGTTCTGTTGTTGCTGTTGTTGTTATCATCATCATTGCTCTTAATATTAATGATGAAATGATAATAGTGATAAGAAACATTATTATTATTATTGTTATTATTAATCGCCCCCAACATTTCTGATTCATACCTATACCAAACTGTAGAAATGCTAAAATACCACAAGTGAATCTGTTTGTACAGCATGACCATTCCAGCCAGAAGCAGAAAATGGAGACACGTCAGAAATATTCTCACTCTTGATTGATTTCAAATCCATTTGTGAATAACCAAGACTCTTGTGATATTGCTCAATTCAAATGAAAGCAGTCTTAGAGCAAACAGCCAACCCAACAATGTGGAAGAGAAAAGGTAGGTTATTACTACATTTGCACCCTGTCTTCCACTTTGGTAGAGACTCTGAACAGGGCATTTATGAAAATTTGTTCCTCAGACAGAATTCTGCCATCCTGTTTTGAAATGTAAAGTTTTGCTGCAAAAGACTAAGATTTTCTCACAGATGTGGTAAGCATTTTAACTTCAAGCCTTCTGGAGTGCGTATTTTATGGAGAGTTACTGGATTATTAAATTGCATTTCACAAATCACACATACATTCATTAGCATAGCTTCTGATCTGCACAGATCAGAAAAGGAGAACAATTGCTGATACTCTTGAAGAAGGCAAAAAACAAAGAAAAGTTAATTAAAATATATTAGCTTCACTGAGTATTGCATGCACAATCAAAAGCTAAAAAGATATTATGGAATGCAAAAATAAATGCATGAAAATAAGCATGCAAAAAGTGAAACAACTGCATATGATGGACAAAATAAATCACTACTCTCTTTACAAATAAATATAGTTAAAGATGACTAAATGACACATTACTTTCATTTGAACAGTATCAGCAAAATGCTTGTTATTTTATTAAATGACTCAAATTTAAACTTGTATCTAAGTAAACAGGATTGAAGAGGTTTCCACCAATGTACATTTCTGTTAAATTAAAAAAAAAACCCATAATTTCCAAGGTGCACATTCTTTCTCTGCTAAAACACGTAGCAACTCACACTAGAGAGATCCAGACTTTCACCATTAATTACATAGGCATTTGCAAAATTGATAAGTTCACAATGACCATAGCCAAGCATTTTGACTATTAAGCTCATTCCCCACATATAACACGCTTTGAAGACAGGGGCTGTCAACCCCCAGAGGTACTTAGAAAAGCCATAGGGGTATGCAAGAGTAGGCAGATGGGTGGGGATGGATATGCCCTGAGGCGTGGCAGTGGCATCTCCTGCTTCTTACCCAGGGGAAGGGGAGGGGGAGGGGTGCCGGTAGCCCCACATGGCACACTGCAACACCTCCCCACCCCCAACCTCTGCTCGTTCTCTGTGCCCGCTCCCAGGAGCAGGGCTGTG